ATAAGTTGCCCATGGATTTCTGGTGTGAGAAACTGCCCTTCCTCAGCTCCACCCTATACACCATTAGAGTGGCAACTGCTGACTGCACACTGAGCTCTTCTGGAAACAGAGGTTCTTAGAGGCTCCAAGCCTGTGAAGCTCTATGCCTTTCTGTGGGTCACAAGGCAGCCCTATACAAGCTCAGCACAGCCACCAAAGCCTCCTTGCTAAGACAAAAATGTCACCTACAGGACAGAACTAAGTCTGGGTCCTCTGGAGTATCCCACCTACAAGAGAGAGTGGCTTCTTCTGCCCTCAGTCCCTGACCAGTTGACAAGATGCTAGAGGAGGTCACCCCTCTCAGCGCCTTGGCTACCTGGGGAGCCCTTTGGGATCAAAGGAGTGAAGAGCAATGGGAGTGTACACTTTATAGACAGCATCAAAACTGTACATGATGGAGCTTACTGGAGACCTTCCGCTTCTCATTCCTTAATCCAGACGTCCTTGATAAAGAATGGGATCCAATCAATGGTCAACAAAATTACCCAAACTTTAGGCAGTCATCTTACCCTGGCCAACAAGTGACTCCATCTGTGCATTTGTACAGACTGCTGGACCATTGCCAATGGGCTCCGCCAACGGTAGCAACAGCCATTACTCATCCAAAGTTTCCCTCTTTGGGGAAAATGACTCTGGGAATCTCTTGCCAAATGGATAGCCAAAATACAAATCAGGGTTAAACATATCTCTGTGCACATTAAAACCACACTATCCACTTGGGAGTTCCAGATATTGTTGAGCGACCATTTCACTTCTAAAAATACACAATGTTGGGCTCTTGAACAAGGTGTTCAGTGGAACTCTCACCGCCTTGGCCAGTCTCAGGCTACAAGCCTCATAGAACACCATCATGGCATACTTAAGAAAATTTAATTAAATGAAACATGATGTATTTCCTTTATCAGTCAAACATCAGGGGTGAATTATAATAAATAATCTGATTCCATTTTTGATGTTTGACAGTCAAAAACTTTCAAGCCCTGCCCTTCTGCCCCACAGTTGGGCCAGCTGATAAGAAAGCCCAGGGGCTCCCTTTTTCAGTCCTGGAAGGAAGTTCAAACCATGCAAGCGAGCCCCAGCCCACAGGTGGGAGTCTTCACCTCAGCTGTGCTCCCTAATCACAATAAAGACCAAACCAGTCTCCCTTTCTCTCTCTCAAGCCACTTTCAGATCTCCTTGGGAGTCTGCCCTATGCTCCCCAGAGCCCTCACTATATGAGTAATAAACCTTTTCATACCCTCTCAGGTGTTGTGTGGGGTCATCAGTCTTGACATCCAAAGCAAATTTTGAGTGGGATGACCACAACATACTTTCTCCTCAACCTCGATTAATACCTCACAAACAGTCGCTCATCAAAACTAGGCTTTAGGATTATTTGAGCCACTCTGATAGAACTTTGCAATTTTGACTGCAAATTGGAAAATTTCTGAAGTCTCTATTGCAAAGGGTATTATCAACTGAGAACAGAAGTTCAGCTATCTTTTCCTTTTCTGTTTCTCAAATTAACTATTTGGCTATGTACTTTTTATCTGTCAATTCCGGACAAAATTGGGGGAAAGTCTACACCCACATAAAGCCACAATTCTGATTTCTTTACAACCTGTTAAGCCATGTTGCTGCAGAAACAACTAAGTTACTATATTAGGCACCATCATGAAATAAACTAACATGTTTAAAATTGGAGGTATTCTGAGTTGGGTGTCCCAAACATTCCTAAACAGTTCTGAGACTGGAATTTGAATGACTCAGATGTTCAGGACTGAACTTTCTTTTCTCTCAGTCTGGCACATTACTTACTTCTGTTTCAAGGATTTCACTATTACTGCTTGTTAAATGTATAGATTTGCTTCTGGGTGCAGAAATTTTCTTTTTATTAAAAAACTTAGGTGACAAAACATAAACAAAATAGAAGCCTATTTATGGAATTTGTATATTATAATTATATAAATTTATATTTCATATAATCTTGTACCAAGTTGCAGGATACATTTTTAGTGCATTGGGATATGTAATTTCTTAACATCTGATCTCACGCACTTTCCTTTCCAGCTGCACTGGAATCCCCTGGGTGCAGGTATAACGAGTTTCAAGAAAGGATATTCATTCCTTTTGAATTTATTCAGAGGCAACACAAAAGTGATCTGCAAGTTTTAGCATCAAGAATTTTTACCCTATTTCAAAATTGCAGACAGTCATGAATTAGCTTTAAAATTAACACTTCAGATGAGTTTTTTCCTATCTCAAAATGCATACTCCAGAGAAATATATTTTATATTAATTCTTTTAAATGAATACTATATTAATTAGTTGCATACTTTCTGGAAAGATGTCTTACAAAAAATGTTCCAGGGGCCAGCCCAGTGTCGTGGTGGTTAAGTTTGTGAGCTTTGCTTCCGCAGTCCAGGGTTTGCCGGTTCGGATCCTGGGTGCAGACCTAGCGCTGCTCATTAAGCCATGCTGTGGCAACATCCCACACAAAACAGAGGAATATTGGCACAGACGTTAGCTCAGTGACAATTTTCCTCAAGCAAAAAGACGAAGATTGCCAACGGATGTTAGCTCAGGGCCAATCTTCCTCACAAAAAAAGAGAGAAAAAATCCACTAATTTGCCACTGAGAAAACATATGTACATATATGATAAAATGAAATCCAATCCATGGAGAGAAAAGTGAGAAAAATTACAGGAAACAGCCACAGAAGGGTAAATATTGACAGAAAAGAGTAGGCTAGCAGATTATTATTTTGGTGCAAAACACATATTAAATCTCATTGCTTGGATGAACTTATGTTTTCACCCATGAAACTTCCATTGAGCACCATCATATGAGAGGTACTGTGCTAAGCACCATAGATGTGATTGTAAGAAAGAGTCTCTACCCCTGAGTTGCTCACAATCAAGTAAGAAAGAAAAACATGTTAAGGAAGACAGAAGTGTTATAATACGGATTTACATGAATACTTTAGGAGCACACAGGCTCCAGCCTTTAATCGTGATTAGTCCGTATTTAAGGATTAGGAGATGAGTGCAAAGAAGGTGAGGTTTTAGGCTGGGTTAAAAGAGTACACCAAACCACATGATCATCTCAACTGATACAGAAAAATCCTTTGACAAAATCCAACATCCTTTTATGATAGAAAACATTCAATAAGTTAAGAATAGAAGGGAACTTCCTCAACATGAAAAAAGCCTTATATGAAAAACCGACAACGATCGTATTCAATAGTGAAAAACTGAAAGCTCTTCTCCTAAGACCAGGAACAAGACAAGGATGCCTGCTTTCGCCACTTCTATTCATTATAAGACAGGGAAATCAGGCAAAGAAAAAAAAAAACATATCCAAATTAGAAGGAAGAAGTAAAATTACCTCTGTTTGCAGATGACGTAATCTTATAGTTAGAAAACCCTAAAGAATATGTTTTAAAAAACTATTAGATCAAACAAACAAATTTAGCAAATTTTCGGATACAAAATCAACATGCAAAAATTAGTTGTATTTCTATGCAATAGCAATGAACATCCAAGATGAAACTGGATTGGAAAAAAAAATCTATTTACAAACCAAACAAGGGAATAAAATACTTAGAAATAAATGCAACAAACAAAGCACATGACTGAAAACTACAAAACACTGTGGAAAGAAATTAAAGAAGACCTAAATAAATGAAAAGATATTCCTTGCGCAGGGATTGAAAGACTTAATATTGTTAAGAAACAATACAGAGATTCACTGCAATCCCTATTAAAATTCCAATGACGTTTTTTGCAGAATGGAAAAACTCATCCTCAAATTCATACGGACTCTCAAGGGACCATGAATAACCAGAACAATCTTGAAAAACAACAACAGAGATGGAGAACTCACACTTACTGGTTTCAAAACTAGTTACAAAGCACAGTAATCAAAACAGTGTGGTACTGGCATAAAGGCAGACATATAGATCAATGAAACAGAATTTAGTGTCTGGAAATAAACCCTCACATTTATGATAAACTGATTTTTACAAGGGTGCCAAGATTACCAAATGGAGAGAAAGACCAGTCTCTTCAAGAATGGTGCTGGAAAAATGACACTGACATGCAAAAAGTGAAACCTTATGTCACACCATAAACAAAAAAATTAACTCAAAATGGATTAAATACCTAAACATAAGACCTAAGACTATAGAACTCTTAGAAGAAAACATAGGGATAAATCTATATGGGCCTACATTTGGTGATAGTTTCTTAAATATGACACCAAAAGCACAAACAACAAAAGAAAAAATATACAAATTTGACTTTACTAAAATTAAAAGCTTTTGTGCACCAATGGACACTATCACGAGAATGGAAAAATTCACGGAATGGGCGAATATATTTGCAACTCATATATCCGATAAGAGTTTCATTTCCAGAATACATAAATAACTCCTGCAACTCAAAAAATAGTCAGAACAACCGAATTTTACAAATGGGCAAAGGACTTTGAAGAGACATTTCTCTAAATGAGATACACAAATGGCCAATGATCACATGAAAAGATGCTCAACATTAGTCAAATGCAAATCCAAAGCAAAATGGAATACAACTTTACACCTATTAGAATGCTTATAATTTGTAAAAATGGAGAATAAGTGTTAGCAAGGATGTGGAAGCACTGGAACCTCTGTATGTTGTTGGTGGAAACGTAAAGTGCCATAACTGCTGTGGAAGCAACTAGGCCATTTCTCGAAAAGCTACATGTAAAATTACCATGTGATCCAGCAATTCTACCCTTAAGTATAGACCCAAAAGATTGAAAACGAGTGTTCACACAGGTACTTGTATAACAACGTTCATAGCAGTATTATTCACAACAACCCCAAAGTGGAAACAAGCCAACTGTTCATCAGTAGATAAATAAACAAACATACATCTCATGTATGTACATACAATGGTATATTATTCGGCCATAAAAATAAATGAAATTCTGCTAGAACATGGATGATGAAATTTGAAAACACTATGTATTAAAATAAGCCAAACACAAAAGAACAAATATTATGATTCCACTTATCTATCTAGAAATATCTAAAGGTATCTAGAATAAGCAAATTCATAGAGATGGAAAGAACATTAGCAGTTACCAGGGACTGAAGGGAGGGGAGAATGGAGAGTTACAGCTTAAGGGGTCCAGAGTTTCTGTTTGGGGTGATGAAAAATTTTGGAAATAGTGGTGACAGATGCACAACATTGTAAATGTAAGTAGTGCCATTGAATGGTACAATTAGCCACGGTTAAAAAGGCAAATTTTATGTTATATTATATTTTATATATATATATATATTTATACACACAGAGAGAGACAGAGAGATAATCACAAGAAAAAATAGGAAAAGAAACCAAACCAAGGTGCAGAAGAACATACATAGTAAATTATCTTTGGTGTCTGTATTTGCATAAAGAAACACTGGAAGAATATATACGAAACTAATATAAATGGCTACTTATAGGTAACATGAATATTCAGCCCACACACACTAATCAGGTTCTCCTGGTTAAAATATAGAAATTCTCTGTCCTGGTTGGTAAGTGGCCACTCCCCAATTTCCTGAATTCCCTCTACCTCTGCTCTTACCCCTGGATTCCTGATTGCCCCATGATCCAGCAAGTAAAGAGTTAAGCCTGGCAGGGTAGAGGTCTGGCAGGGCCAACATAGAAGCAAGTGGGAGGGTAACTGGGTGGAAGGGAGACTTTGCATGCTAAACCTTTTAACAGCCCTGTGATTTTTGAACCATCTAAATATACTACGTATTTACCATAATAAAATATAAAAACTAAACCAAAAAAAAGAAGAAGAAGAATACACCAGCTGGAATCGACAATTAAGAGAATTTGAACAAAACAAACGTGTACTCGTAAACCATAGTGGCACAAAGAACAAGAGGGCTCAGGGAATTGCAATTCTTCTAGACAGGCTTAAATACAGAGGGGAGAGACCAGGAGATGAGCTTAAACAGGTAAATTTAGGCGAGATATTAAAGAACCTCTATGTGGCATTAATTAATGTGAACTATTTCCATAGCACTGACAAACCATTTAGGGTTTTTTGGTTTGTTTGTTTTTTTAATCAAGGGAATTACTTGAACAGATTTGCATGTTAGAAAAATAATTCTGACAACTGTATGGAGAACGGACTCAGAAGGAGAGAAATTAGGAGTAGGAGGGCTGAGATGATGAGGAAAGTAGTAATAAGATGGAAATGAGAAATCAGGGCTAGAAGATACTGAAGAATGATCTAAGGGTCTTACAGAAAAATAATTAGCTTGGGGATTGAGTTAATAAAAAAAGGAGGAACAAAAGATGACTCTAAGAGTTCTAGCTTAGTTGACTAAAGAAGTGGATTTTGACCTTTAATGGGAAAATTCTAAATGGGAAATTATTCAGAATTTTGATTATGTGAAATGTGAATATATTGAGATGCCAAAGATAAAGCATGAAGTAATGCAGATTTCAAATAAAGAGTTACTATGAAAATGATAATGATTTATTTTCCATTTCATTTAGAAATGACTTACTAAGGGGATATATGCTAAATTTTACAGGAAAAAAAGAGTATTTTTACACATAAATAAAGGTCTAAACTCAGAGTAATACTGGAATAGATACAGTCACTGTTTTGTAGTGAGTTTTACAAACAAATGCCTTTTTGATTGTGATAGCTTAGGTGTTATACAAGTAGAAAAATGACCTCTACGTACTGTCACTTATTCTAGGATTTATATTTTTATAGAGAAAGTAAATAATAAATATAATTTCTCAGAATGCCACCTGACATTTTTCCCAATAAATGTATTTCCAAATACCATGGTATTCTTCCGGGGATAATATTGTTTCATCAGAATGGAAAGTAAGATGAACAAGAGACGTTTCATAAAATCTTTATGACCAAAATGGCTTTTTAGATAATTTGTCCAAGCATTCTTCTCTTAATTCTACATCTATTTCCAGCTTCCCATCTCCACAGCTAAACTTTCAAAGTAATAGCCTATAATAATATTCTTCATTTCCTTCCCTTACATTTATTCCTCAATCCACTTTACATGCCCACTTTCTATAAGTGAAGTGGTTGTTGCTCAGGTCAACAGAGGCGGACACACGACTAAGTCACTTCATGTGAACTTTCTGCTGCATTTTCATGCTTAGATAACCCATCCTCCTTGAAACAGTCTCTTTCCTCGGGCTCTATGACACTAAACATTCCTGGTTTCCTTTATCCTTCTGTGATAATTTCTTCTCAACATCCTTTGCCGGCTTATTCTCCTCTATCCAGCCATTGAACTTCTCAGGAGTTAGTCATAGCCCTTCCCCTCTTCTCACTATACTCCCTTCCAGAAGAGCTCACCACATCTATGACCTCAATTTCCAACTAGATGCCAATGATTCCTGACCCTCACCCTTTTATTTCAAATCTCTAGGCTAGAAATTCCTCTAGACTGCAAGCACAAATAACCAAATGTTTCCTTAACCTCTCAATGTGGATGTCTCAAATATACCTCAAGCTAACCGTGTCCAAATAACCCCCCCGCTTAATCACTCCTATCAAAGATGATTCTCTTCCAATGTTCCTACCTTAATGAAATCATCATTCATCCAAGGGCACTTAGTAACGTTCTTAAAATTTACCTTTTATTAAATCCCCCTATCTATTTCTTCACCAAAGACTGTCAATTATTTCTTACTAAGTATCTCTTACTTCTGTCTATACTGTCAAAACCCTAGTCCAAAATACCATCATCTCTCTCCTGGATTGTTATAAAAACTTTGTCACTATTCCAAGTACAATCTTGCCCCCTCAAATCTGAAAAATATATTGGATGGAAAGTTTTTAGTCCTCAAATCTGTGAAGGAAGCATAGTAAAGTCTTGTTAGTTTCCAAAGTGCCTGTAGAAATGATGATAATTATTCAAATACACAACAGAAACAGCTATCCATATTACACATTATCATGAATAAATACCATCTCCAGTTTGGTTAGAGTCAGTAGTTTGAGAAACGGTAGCGAAAAAGTGAGTGACAAACATTATCTCCACTTTGCTACATCTCTTGCTCTCTATCTGACCTTTCAAAAACCGGAGTATCCGATCTGACTTTTCTCACTCAGTCTTTTCCAGATTTTTCTGGGGTCATCTGACAGCCTGGGAAGGCCTTGATGCACTTCTCCAATAAGGGTCAGAAAGTCTTTAGTATGAAGATGTTCATCTATCTTCTCTTGGAGTAGAAGTGACTCCAGTAAAGTTTTCTTTCGTTTCAGGAAGGCAGATTGAGCCAGTTCTGCTCTTTTTCTGTTACAACTAGGACACTGAGAAGAAATATGTTGCTTAGCTGTCGCCACCTGTTTTGCTATTGTCCTCATGTTTTTTAAATAGACTCTGTTCAAAAGCTCATCAGGGACAGTACAGTTTAAGACATCTCTCTCTGAAGGCTCTGCATCCAACGTAAACTGCAGCTTTTTATGTCTGCTGCTCTTTTTCTCCTTAGAGTTCGCTCTACGATGGATCAGGTTTATCTTAATGGTGCAAAAAGACTGCAGGGCATTCAATTCTCCCTCGGATGCCCGAGTGATTTCTGTTTGAAGTTTAGTGTCTGGTTGGTACTGTTCAGAGTTAGTTTCTTTGCCCTTGAGATGGTTGATCCATTTTCTACTGAACTTCTCTTCATAATTTTTGTACTCCGAAAGCTCAGATTGCTTGTCTCGATATTCCAAGTATGTAGTGGGCTTTCCACTCTCAGGTTTGCTCCCAGAGGCATGGGGCCAGGGTTGCAGTCTTTCAGAAAAGCTGAATGAACCAGATCTCTGTACCTCGTCAGTAAAGGACTTGAAGGTCTCGTTACAAAGGTCGGCCATAGCCCTGATGTCCGCTTGGGCCAATTTCCCTTGCCCTTCTGAATCCCCGGGCTCCTAGGCAGATAGCCAACACATTACATCAGACTCGGCTCCATATCTGCTTTGCTCTGGTCAAGATTGCTTCAGGAACTAGTCAGGCCTGAGCCGGCAGCTGAGCCAGGCTCCTCTTCCGGGATACGCCTTCCCGTTGCCTTGGCAACGCGGGGTGGTCATGCGCAGTAGGTCGCTGCGCCGCACCTCACCCTTTCCCCCACCTCCCTCAACGCCGATTCCGCCTGCGCAGTTCACGCCGGGTTTGCAGGGACGGCTTCTCCGTTCGCTCTCTGGCTGTTGTTGATTAGTGCAAAACTTAAAAAACTAAAACCTGAGAAAAGGTTGCAAACTCCCTTTTCTCAGGGGTCAAACAAATATACGTGTGTATACGAGAATGCATGCCCCCCCTAAATGTATCCAAATTAAGAACAACAACCCTGCTGGCCAAAAGGCACAAGCAGAAACATGTCTGTCTGTCACTCATATAGCCAGGAGAACACCTATTTGTACGCCATGACTTAGGATAAAAATCAAAGTGCTGAAGCCATCCTAACGACTCCTGCATGACACCTTTCTCCAGCCTCATTCTGCACAATTTTCTGTGCTCCAGCATTGGGATGACCTTGCAGTTTTCCCAAATCACTGTTCCGCAGGTTTTTGGTTCAAGCAGCTCCCCTTGGATTGGCATGCGAACGCCTGTCCTTCTTTATATGATTAATTACTGCTCCTCCTTCAAGTCCCATTTCCTCAAGAAGGGCTTCATTCCCACTCCCGCCCCCAGCACTTTACATCCTTCCTTTCACAGTTTGCAACTATGTGTTTGTAGGAATATTTGATAATGACCCCCACATAGCCACACTAGATCAAAAACTCCGTGAAGGCAGAAACCATGTCACGGGTGCCCAGCATTCAGCAGTTACATAGAAGATGTTTGAGAAATCCCTGTTGAGTAATGCGTTGATTGACTATGGAAATAGAAATAAATATCACCTCACACAGGTCCAGTGGATTTTCTGGAATAAGTACGATCAGCTCAAGGAACTCCAATCTTTTTTCTTTGTGGACTCCCCAATTTAGATTGTTACTCATGACATACCCTTTTAAAACAGCCTTTGAAAAAACATGCTAGAGTTTTATCAGTAACTATTCTCAGAAATTATAAAATGTTATCTCTGGAGATGGGCTTTTTCTACATCTTAATAAATATCTGAGTCTAGGTCTTAGTGAGTATCTGAGATAATTTCAAGAGAACAGGCTCTCTCGCTCAATTCCTTCTGTGTGTGTGTGTGTGTGTGTGTGTGTGTGTGCGCGCACGCTGTTATTCAAGTCTAGCCAGATATATTTAATGTTGTTTCAAAAATGTCCACTTTGGCAAAGAGTCAAAAGTCTGAAATCTTCAAAAAGCGTCTCTCAAATATGAGCCAGCTTCATATTGAAGATAAAGAGATTCCAACTTCATTTATACAACCCAAATTATATTTTATTATATAATATTAGCCTTTAAAAAGAGGTAGCAGATAACTTGTAGATAGCTCCAAGTAATTTCCATGTCTGAAAGGCTCAAGATTTTCATTCTTAATTTTTATTTCATAAACCTCCCCCTTTCTCTGAATATTTATGGGTAATTCAATATAATGCACATTTTGCCCCAAAACATTCAGCAAGGGAGCTATACTTTATATTCATATGTTCTAATATGCTAAATTTAAAAAAAAAAGATAACTTTACCCTGTAAGCAGATAAATTTGGGGAAATATCCTGTAATTAACCAATTGCTTTGTAATAACCAGCATGACCCAGTAAACTGTTCAGCACCCTAACATTGTGTTACCTAAGGGAGTAAAATAGCTCAACAGTACTATATCATCATAAACCGAGATTCATGAAGACAGAAGTCAAAATTGGATTTTAAACATAGAAACTATCAGTTTGTATAAACCTTGTACTCTTTACCTTCAACTCTAACTCTATCACAGAATAAAGTTTAAAGGTGACTCTACTTAAAATCCACACTCTTGTTATCCTGGCTATACATGAAATAAAAATATTTGCTTACTCTCTTCCTTGTATATGAGAATTATCAGTGATATATATATGAAAAAAACAGACCATTCTATTAGCAGTACTGGCAAAATCTGTATTTCATATTGTTAAGAGAGATTAAGAGAACTGTGAACAAGTGTAATGTCTTACACTAATTTTTTTTTTAATTGAATGCTTCAAGTGAGAGGGAAAAACCTCAGGAATGCAGAAAAGGGAAACGGGAGTGGAGAGTAGCAACTTTCTATCTTATCTAAAATCTTTTTATCCTGTAACAGTCGATACAAATCATTCCTACTTACTATACTGAAAGCAGATTTAATCAAGATTTGCAGGAAAAAAATATAGTATGACATTTTAAACATTTTATTGTTTTTATCAGGAAAAAAACCCCAAGGGATTGACAGAGGAAATATTTATAGCCTTCCCAGAAAATGCACAGCAATATTTCAGTGTCTCGATAACTTTGTTACATAATTACTTATTCTGTATTTAGCAAATGTCTATGAACCTTGGAGCAGTTTTTTTTGCAAAACCAAAACTAATTATCTAAAACTAAAATTAATTAACCAAGACTAAAACATATTATCCAATGAACACTCAAATGTGCAAAGAAAATGGTGCACTTTTTTTTCCTGTTATTAATGTAATCTTCCTTACAAGTTCTCACCCATTTTGGTAGCTATGCAAAACCATTAACTTGATGATTAATGATATCCCAGACAGTCCTATGTCAGTCTCATTTTGACAAATATTTAGTCAATGCTAAATTTAGCTCCATAACAGAGCTATTGTATCTTCCTAGAGGGGCAAACTTTACCTTTGGGACATTCAGCATACGGGGCCCTAACTTTGTGCTGATCCTTTAGCTGGTCTCCAGCGCATAGTGCAGGTGGTCCGTGGGTGTGTGCTGTTTTCCACCAAGTCACAGTTAGTCAGGTTCTTTCCAGGGTCCTAACAAAATCCAAGGCTAGTGGAACTTGTCACAACCTTTCCTGGCTATGGTGCCTAGGTCATGACACCCAGTGGTACTTTGGCTCCCTCCTGGAGGCTGGCTCTGTTTCTTTCAAAAACATGCTGAGAAGTGGCAGAGAAAATGGCGGATGTGCTCCAGCACCCAGCACAGCCTATAGCCCTTGCCGCTTCACTATCTTTCAGACTTCCTCTGGCAAACTCTTCCTCCAGCAATCTCAAACATCTTGGCATCTCTTAGGCGCTGATGGGGTCGCCAGGGTCCTTTATAGAGCATGTTGTGGCTGAAGGCTGCCTGGGGTGGGGGTGGGACAGGATGGAAGGGAAGGAGACAAATCAGATGCCCCTGGCCTAACCGTGCTATGGTGCTACTGTTATTTTCCTGCTGTCACTGTATCTTCCCTCATAGTTCTCAACAGGGAGCGGGGCAAAAGCTCTTCTTCTAGCCTTTCCTCAACAATCAAATATGCTTTGCAGATATGGGGCTTAAACCTGGAGACAGGAACTGAAAACAAATTAGACTTCCTGTGCGACTCCCTTTCTCTCTCATTTCTCTTTCCTTGGAGGAAGAAGGGCATGCCTTTAGCTTCTTCCTGTCTGACAAGCAATTCACCTCCTTGCCAAGGAGGTGTTTGGCCTGTATCTCTTCCTGGAGCCATTGTGGTATACAGGGTAGCAGGAAAGAATCTAGTTTATGAATATGGGAAATTAAGTTGACAGATCCTTAAAAAACATTCTACCCTTTACATAAACTTCACAACACTGTACTTGGTTCTGTGCATCAAGCAAAATGAAATATTATTTCTACTCCTAAGGGGCTAAGATGGATATGTCAGGAATCTCACTGTGAGAAACCATTTTTTGTGAAGGCAAGAATCTTAACATCACTCATGGTAAAAAATGATTTCAATACAGGGCAGTGGTTGTTCTTCATTTCTGTGAAATGTTTCCACTTCGCAAATATCTCAATCTTTCCATTTTTTCCTATGTGTCTTCAGTTTTATAATTTTTCTGAAATTGATTAATTGCCTTATGAAGAGCTGCTTTTTACTTTAATGGCTATTGTTTTGCAAAGGTATTATACATTTATCGTAAATACTTTAAAAGATAAAGACAAACCACAAATACTGATTTTAAGTAAAAGTTACCTGAATTCTGACTTCCCAAAAGATTCTACCATAAACACTTATAAAACATTGTATGTTTTTCCTTGAATAATTTTTGCTAATAAAATCTAGATTATGTTTAATTATGGTTTTATGAACTATTTTCTTCAGTTAGTAATAATAGGAACACTTTTCCATTCAATTTATAAAAATACTTTCTCAACATAATCTTAAAGGCTGTATTACACTATTGAATTTATTTAACTAGTTGAATTATTGAGACAGGAGTTATTTCCAGTTTTTTGCTTCTAAAAATTATTAGGAGAAACTTATACACATTCATAGCTATACATACTGGATAAATTCTGGAAATTGTAATTGACAGGTCAAGATGTAGGTACAGTTTTAAGGCTTTTGAGACACAAACACCCCCTCCTCACTTTTTGTCCCCTGATTCAAGATAAAAAAATCAAGATATGATACTTTTATCCATAAATACTTCAGCTTATATCTCTAGAAGAGAGGGCCTTTGTAAAGATGTGATTATCACATCTAAAATGTGATAATTCCTTAATGTCCTCTACTAATTATTCTGTATTTGAATTTCTCTGATTATCTCAAAAATGCCTTTTTGCAAGTTGCAGTGTTTGAATCAAGGTCCCTTGGCTGCATTTGGCTGATAGAGTGCTCAAGGCTCTTTAACCCACTGTGCTTCCAAAGTGTGAACAATTTAAAAAACAATAAAGAAAAGAAGGAAAAGGCAGAGCAGTTTAGCTTTCTTCTCTGTATCTACCATTATGTGTCCCATAGAAAATCGTTATTTTAAAATTGTTTATCCTTCTAATTTTCTTTTTGAAATTATAAATCAATAAACATTTGTGTCTCCTTTCTTACAAAAACAAATATTCAGCATACTCTACACATTGCTTTACACTTTTTTTTTCATTAAAAATACATCCTGGATATCACTTCATATCAGCATATAGACATCTTCCTCATTTCTCTGTACCACTGCACAGTATTCCATCATGGAAATGTACCACAGTTATCCCCACATTTTGGTGAGCATTTTGCTTTTATAAGAAATCAAATTTTTCTTTGTATTTGTGGAGATAGATCTCCAGGATTATTTCTAGGAGTGAGATTAGTGGATCAAAGGATAAAGGCACGTGTAGCTTTTTTTTTTTTTTCACGTTTCCAAATTCCCCTCTAAAGGGGGTCTACATTTTGCATTCCTCCCAGCGATGTATGAGAGTGCCTGTTCCCAAGATCCCGGCTGACAAGATATGTACTCGAATTTACGGATTTTTGTGAATCTAATGGATGAGAAATGGTATCTCATTGTGATTTTAAGTTGAATTCTTCTCATTTTGAGTGAGACTGAACACCACTTCATGTGTATAGGGTCATTTACATTTCTCTTTTTTTAAGTAATTTTATTGAGATTATAATGGTCTATAACATTGTGTAGTTTCAGGTGTACATTATTGTTTATCAATTCCTGAATACACTTCATCGCGCTCATCCCCAGTAGTTTAATTTTTATCCATCACCATACACGTGTGCCCCTTTGTCCCTTCTACTCTGGTAATCTGTTCTCTTTATCCAAGTATTTGTAATCTTCCATATATGAGTGAAATCATGCAATATTTGTCTTTCTCTGTGTGGCTTATTTCGCTAAACATTTACGTTTCTTTTTATGTATAATGTCTATTCATTTCTTTCACCTATTTTTACATAGAATTTTAGTTTTATTCTTCTCAAGTCTTAACAGCACTTAAAAGCTCTTTGATTTTGGAAATAGTATCCATTTGTCTGTGACATAAGTTCCAAATGATTTTCCCAGTTTGTCTTTTTATTTGCTTATGCTGGTTTTTGCCATGCAAAAGTTTAATTTTTTTATTTCATATATCAAACTTATCAATCTTTGTTCTTATTGCTCTTGGATTCTTAGTCACGTTTGGAATAATTTCCTCTACTCCCCTGTTATAAATAAACTCACCCGTGTTTTCTTACAGTGCTTGTGATTCTTGTTATTCCCTTGCTTTAAAACTCTGATCCTGGGGCCGGCTCCGTGGCCGAGTGGTTAAGTTCACGCGCTCCGCTGAGACGGCCCAGGGTTCGGATCCTGGGTGCAGACATAGCACTGCTCGTCAGGCCAGGTAGAGGTGGCGTCCCACATCCCACAGCTAGAAGGACGTGCAACTAAGATATACAACTGTGTACGGGGGGGGTTGGGGAGATAAAAGCAGAAAAAAAAAAAAAAAAGATTGGCAACAGTTGTTAGCCCAGGTGCCAATCTTTAAAAAAAAAAAAACTCTGATCCTTTTATAGTTCCTTCTCTACTACAATATGGAGAATGATTCTAATTTTACATTTTTCCATATGGCCATCCACTGATCCCAACAATACTTACTAAACTGTTCTTTGTTACCCCCCTGTCTCTAGATGCTTTTTCATAAATTCCCACATGCACTGCACTGAGGTTTGTTTCTTTTTCTGGAATTTCAACTCTAGTACATTGGTCTGTCTTTCTAGTCACATACCAATACCATGCTGTTTTAAGAGGCTCTGTAATATGTTTTAACATCTCATAGGGCCTGACCCCTCACCTTCATTTTCAAGAATTGCGTGGATGTTCTTATTTGTTATTTTTCCAAATGAGCTTTATAACCAACTTGTCTTGTTCCAGGATAACAGTAAAGTACATAACGGTATTTTATTGGAGTGCACTAAATTTATAATCATTGGGAATTTTTTTTAAACAGTTCTTCCTATCCAGTAATGTATTTTTCTATGCATTCAAGTGTACTTTGGGATCTTTTGGGTGGTTTTCCTCATTTAGGTTCTGTCCGTTTCTTTTTAAGTTTATGTATTTTGTTTTATACACTTTTGTTTTAGTGGTTGTAAAGCAAGTAGTTTCTTCTACTATATCTTCTATCTGGTTATTATTTGTTTGCTAGAATGCTACAGGTTTCTGTATTTTTGTTTTATAGCCGGCTAGGTGAGTAAATTTTTATTGCCTAGAGTAGCTTTTTATTTTATTAAGGTTATTAATTTTTAAATGGACTTGTTTCTTTCTTTTGCCATACAGCTATGAATTTTAATACATGTAACAACCACCAAAATCAGTATACAGAGTTCCCTTGTATATCCCTTATGGCCACTCCCTCAACCTACCAGTAACACGGTCTGTAAGAGTTTTCTCATTGATTTTGCCCTGTGGTTTTCCAGATATATAGTCACATTATCTACAAGTTAAGATAGCCCCTTCCTTCCTAATTCTTATTCCTCTGATTGCTTTCTCTTATCTATTTTCTTTATCTAATACCTCCACCACACTGTGAGGTAGTGGTGAGGTTAGTAATCTTACCCATGTTAAAAATTGGACATTTACCTTTGTCTTTACAAATTTGTAAATGAATGTAAAACTTCTCATAGTTTAGAAATGTTTTTGAACTTAGAAAAACAAAAAATCAAAATGATATGTGTGACACAAAATTGTCCTATAAAATGCTATTATAGCAAAACTCTGGGAGATAGATAAATGGATAAACAGTTGAGGAAATTCATAAATTAATAGAGAATAAACTCTCCAATTAAAGACTTCAAATAAATCTGTCATCTATGTCCTTTCAATATTGCCAGAGTATTATTCACTTTACGTAGAAATCGTGTTTTAAAAACTTGAGTTTGAATAAAATTCAATCCTGCAAATGTAGTGGGTTTTTATTTTTAAATAATTTCTAAATATGTGATATTTATCTGAATTTTTTCTAAACAGACAAAGTGTTTTATACATCACTGGCATAATATAAATTAGCAACTCAGTTGGAGTCTGGGTGTTCCAAATGTCACAATTTTAACCAACATATTTTTTAGAATGAAGAAAAAGAAGCATAATCTCAGTTATCTTTTTTTAAAGGAAATTATCAGAGATGTGTGGATCATTGTGTGTGTGTGTGTGTGTGTGTGTGTGTGTGTGTGTGTGTGTGTGATGTGTTAATTTGCTAGAGTTGCTGTAATAAAGCATCACAAACTGAGTGGCTTAAAAAAACAGAAATTATCTCACAGTCTGGAAGATAGGAGTCCGAAATCAAAGCATTGGTAGAGTTGGTTCCTTCTGAGGTCTATGAGGGAACGATATGTTCTGGGCCTCTCTCCTTGACTTTGGATGGCCATCCCCATGTTCATATGAGGTTCTCCCTATCTGGTGTCTCTTTGTCCAAATTTCAGCTTTTCATAAAGACACCAGCCGTATTGATGCCCAATATTGGTATCTCATCCTAACAACCTCATTTTAACTTGATTATCTCTCTAAAGACCATGTCTCCAAAAAAAGTCACATTCAGAGGTACTGGAGGTTAGGACTTCCATATAAGAATTTGGGGGGATACAATTCAACCTATAGTATGTGGTTTATATGAAAACCAAATTAAAGGCTAGTTAGACAGCCTGCCTCTGGGATAGGCTTTTAGTATAAAACTGCTAGTGATTTGCTAAGGGAGAAAAATAGAATTGTCAAATATAGGGACTGAAGATAAACTGCTTTA